AAAGAGTGTTAGCAGCATGTAGCAGCAAGAATATCTTCCGCTTATTTTATACATTGGCTTTCACCCTGCCAGAGCCCCGTATTTTTCTCATATCTGTGCTACTGAGAAAGTATCACTTAGTGGATAGGGACCAGGAGGGTTCCACTTACTGCAAACCATACAGAAGAGGAAGATGGCACTGTTTTATTCGGAGAAGTCTAGTCGTGTCCTTACACCCAGCCCTGCAGGCCTGATGAGCCACTTTGCAAAATCTTTACAGAAGTGAGCAGCCTTGTGTCACGTTGGTGGGGACCGGGTGGTAAAGCCCAAGGAAGGAAAGAGATGCAAGAAGAACGACCGAGCGCAACTGTGTCTGCTCCTTTCACCCTGAAACCCCCAGTTCAGATTACCAGCAGCCCCAGTGCCAGCACAACTCTGCTGCCCAGCACACAGCAAGGCACAGGCACGGGCACTGGGCTACCATGTGCGAGCCAGGGGCCAGCCAGCCCTAGAAGTGTGGGGTTCCCATAAAAAGTACTGAAAGAACAAATTCCTCCCCGTGTAGTATGAGTAGTTCCTGAGAACCCATCGCACGCTTTCAGCCACAGACAACCGAGATGATGTGCTGCAGAGGCTGTCTGCGCGGCAAGGGACACTGGCTCGGGAGCAGAGCAGTCCGTTCCAGCCCACGAGCGAAGATGAGCCTGTGCAAAGCACCTCCTGAGGCAGTACAGGAAAATTTCCTGGAAAGGGCCTCTCTGATACATGAGCATTTCTTTTTTGCCTAGAGGTGATTTTTTTTAAAATCGAGTTTTCTCTAGCACTTAGATGACTGAGCAGGCACTTAAAAGGAATACCTTCGTGGAAAGCAGAGGCAACACCTCCAATGCAGAGGAATGGAGATGCTGTGGTCATGTCATTGCAGTCAGAGTGACTGCCTGGATGGCAAGGGGATTGCTGCGGACTGCCTGTGGCTATCTCTGGCACTGGGGTGACAGTCTGCAGAGAGAAGATAAAATAAACCGATACACTGAAGCAGACAATAGTGAGAACACAAAAGAAAGTGGAGACAAGTAGAAAATGATCAGGTTGTAACTGGCGCAAACATTAGATTTCAGTCTTAGCTTGCCTAATTTTAGGTAAAACTTAGAAATAAGATTGCATTGCATCTCACTTGACAAGGGCTTGAGACATCTTCTGCAAAATCCGCTGAACACGAGGCACCCTGCCCTTGTGAACAGCACTGACGGTACTGCTGGGGAGCTGTGTAGAGAACAGGCTTGGGGGAGCATTTAAAGTCTCATTTAACTCTCAGATCAGCACATTTTTACTCAAATACAGCGTTCCCCGTGTCACGGTATTCTGAGTATGGATGACAAGTCAGTCAGTCATTGTCAAAAGATGGTGTATGTGACAGATGCACGGGGAAGATGTAGCTGGAGATACAAGGTAAGAAAAATACCCACAATCTTAAGGGAAAAAAAGAGCTAAATAGCTTCTACTAGATCTATGCTATTGTGAGACCTGTAATTATGTTCTGGGTTAAAATCTTAAAACCAGCAAATGACTGAGATAAGCTGAATCAGATGCATCACTCAGAATTTTTAACTCACCTTATTTTTTTATTGCATTTTCCTCTATCGGAATTATTTTGGATGTAGCTGTTGTTTTTTTCCCACAGCTATTCTAGGTGGCTGAACCAGCACCTTCAGGAATATTCTACCCAAAGATATCTGAAGGGCATGTCCACACACCAGGAGCCTCTGGGCTGAATGTGAGCAAGTCTGGATAGCCCAAATTTGGGGCTACAAATTTACATAACAAAAAGCCCCATCATCCTTTCTAGAATGGATCTCCTTTCTAGAATATAACAACATTTGGAGATGTGATGGATACAG